AGCCTGTGATTATTACTCCTAGTTTTCTCCAAGGGTGCCCTGGTGAACAGTTGTTTACCGAGCCCTTGATGTATGCCCCTGATGGTAACAGTAAGCTGCTACCAAGTTCCCTCTCAGCCTTCTGTTTTTAAGGGTGAAGAGTCCCAGACCCCTCAGCCTTTCCTTGTATGGCTTACCATGCAAATCTCTGATCATACGAGTGGTCCTTCTCTGGATTCTCTTAAGCTTTACCACATCTTTGTTAAAGTGCGGCGCCAAGAACTGGATGTAGTACACTCCAACTGCAGTCTCACCAATGCCGAGTAGAGTGAGAGAATCACTTCTTTTGTTTTGCTGGAGATGCATCGATTGAAGCATGCCAGGGTCTTGTTAGCCCTGCTGCTTACAGCGTCACACTGCTGGCTCATGTTCATACTGTGATCTGTTATTACCCCCAGGTCCCTTTCATTCGTAGTGCTGATCAGGTTGGCATTGCCAAGACTGTAGGTGTGCAGGGGATTGTTCGTCCCCAGGTGGAGCACGTTACGTTTCTCAACATTGAAATTTATCTGGTTCCGGTCCGGCCAACTTGCAAGCCTGTCTAGGTCTGCCTGTATCTCCAGCCTGTCTTCAAGCATAACTACGCTTCCCCATAACTTGGTATCGTCTGTGAACTTGGCCAGTGAGCTCTTCACCCCCATATCCAAATCATTGATGAACATGATGGACAGGTTGGACATATGGGCACAAAACAACAGAATGCAATTCAACAAGGAGAAATGCAAAGTGCTGCACCTAGGGAGGAAAAATGTCCAGCACACCTACTGCCTCGGAAATTACCTGCTTGGTGGCACCGAAGCAGAAAGGGATCTTGGAGTCCTAGTAGACTCCAAGATGAACATGAGTCATCAGTGTGACGAAGTCATCAGGAAAGCTAGTGGCACTTTATCGTGCATCAGCAGATGCTTGACGAACAGAACCAAGGAGGTGATACTTCCCCTCTATCGGGCGCTGGTCAGACCGCAGTTGGAGTACTGCGTGCAATTTTGGGCGCCACACTTCAAGAGGGATGTGGAATACCTGGAGAGGGTCCAGAGAAGGGCCACTCATATGGTTAAGGGCTTGCAGGCCAAGCCCTATGAGGAGAGACTAGGGCACCTGGACCTCTTCAGCCTCCGCAAGAGAAGGTTGAGAGGCGACCTTGTGGCTGCCTATAAGTTCATCACGGGGGCACAGAAGGGAATTGGTGAGGTTTTACTCACGAAGGCGCCCCCGGGGGTCACAAGAAATAATGGTCAGAAGCTAGCAGAGAGCAGATTTAGACTAGACATTAGGAAGAACTTCTTCACAGTTAGAGTGGCCAAGGTCTGGAACTTCCTGCCATGCAGGGCCCGGACTCGATGATCTATTGAGGTCCCTTCCGACCCTAACATCTATGAATCTATGTTGAATAGCACTAGGCCAAGCCCTGCAGGAGACCACTAGCCACTTCCCCAACAAGGTGATGCAGATCTGTTCATTAGAACTCTCTGGGTCCTACCCTGCAGCCGGTTTACTACCCACTTGAGTGTCTCGCACTTAAGCCCACAGTCTTCCAATATTCTTGCAAGAACATCATGGGATACCAAATCAAAAGCTTTTTGGAAGTTGAGGTATATAATGTCAACCTCTTCTCTCTTATCCAGGTGGTGAGTCACCTGATTCTAAAAGGAGATGAGGTTGGTAAGTTGAGACCTGCCCGCAACAAAGCCATGCTGGCTGTCATTCAGAATCCTACCTTCTGCAAGCCCTATCGCACATCGACTCCTTAATTAATTTTTCCAGGACTTTCCCTGGGATAGAAGTTAGGCTAATTGGCCTATAGTTACCCAGGTCCTTCCTCCTCCCCTTCTTGAAGATGAGCACAACATTGGCCCTCTTCCAGTCCTCAGGGACCTCCCCAGAGTGCCATAAGTTTTGGAAGACATATGTCCAGTTTCTTCAATTGAATATACACAGTTTTATGGCAATAGTCAGAAGGCAGTCATTTGAACCCTGCTCATTCTGTACCCCAGCTGACATGATTTTCCCCTTGGCCTAGTGAAAGACTGAAGCAAAGTCATCATTCAGGAGTTGAGTTTTCTCCTGAGTGCTAGTGACTAGCTGTCCTGAGTTGTTGAGCAATGCCCCACACTCCCATTCATTTTCCTCCCATTCCCTACATATCTTAAGAAGGACTTCTTGTTATCCTTGATTCCCATTTCCTCTGCATGGGAATGGATTTCCTTTGTGCTTCAAGGAATCGTGTCCTTTAGGAATGTCCACTGTTCACACACTCCTTTTGCCTTTGGTCCCTGACCCCTCAGCACATTCTCTATTAGTGACCTGAGCTTGTTGAAGTTTGCATTTTTGAAATCCAAAACTTCAAGTCTGCTATCCGATTTATCTGCCTTGTGTTGGACCATGAATGGTTTCACGGTCACTGTCATCCAGGCTGCCCTCTACGTTTAAGTCGGTCACCAGGTCGTCTCCTTTGGCCAGGACCAAGAAGAGTGTTACCTCTGGTTGGCCTGTGTACTTCCTGAGTCAGGAAAAGCTCTTTGATGCAGGTCAGGAAGCAATGTGACTGATCCCACGTGGCCGAGTGTTCCTCCCAAGAGATGTCTGGATAACTGAAGATGCCCATGACAACCGTGTCCCGTGCCCGCGCAGCCTTTGTTAGTTCTTGGGCAAACTCTAGATCAGAGCTTTCCAAACTTTTCATGTTGGTGACACACTTTTTAGACATGCATCATTTCGCGACACAGTCATTCAGTTCCGGGGGAGGGGCCAAGGGAAGCAGACGCGAGTAAGGGAGCTCCGCGATGCCCTTCCGCAAAATTTTCTGCATTTCGCGCGACACACCTACACACTGCCGCCGACACACTAATGTGTCGTGGCACACAGTTTGGAAAGCTCTTCTCTAGATCAAATTCCTTGCCCTGGTTTGGTGGTCTGTAGCATGTGCCTACAGTTAGATCTCTTTCACCACCCCCCTCCCCCCTGCAGCTTGACCCAGAGGGTTTCAAGTCATTCATCTTTGGAGATGATGTCGGCCTCCAAGGAGGTGTACAGCTCCTTCACACAGAGAGCTGCACCTCCACCTTTTTCCCTACTCAATCCCTTCTATGCAGGGCATAGCCCTTTATGGCTACGCTCCAATCGTGTGAGGAGTCCCACCAGGTCTTCATAATCCCTACTAGATTGTAATGGCCGCTGGAGAGCAGGAGAGCTAGTTCCTCCTGCTTGTTCCCTCTGCTCCTGGCATTAGTGTACGGGCACCCGAGTCCTCCTACTGAGACTGTCAACATCCTGTCACACTGAAGGAGAACTATTTCCTCAGTTCCCATGAGAGTGGCCCTCCTGGTGTCCCTATCTACGGAGCTTCCTTGCATGTCGGTCCCCAGGCATGCTCCAGTCAGTGTTTTCCCGTATCTTAGTTTAAAGCTCTAAGGTACAAATCTATTCTGCCATTCCTCAAATAGCCACGAGGTGGTACCCTTGCCTCAGCCTGTCTGTCCCCAATCCTGGCTGTGGCTCACCATCCCCATAATGAGACCCTGCCAGGGCGTGCTAGTTTGACAGACCAACAGGGTTGTAGCTAGACTACACTGATTGCACTCCCTGTATGTGGGATAGTGAGGGAAGAGAAGGCTTGTTAGGATTCTACTCAAATGGTCTTGGCTGGTTTTATAGGTGAGAAAAGAGCGAGTGCGGGGCTCAGCTTCCCCAGACCTAGTCCAGTGGGTTTGGAGCTGCTCTGCTTAGGCCTTCCTGACAGCAGTGGGACCTCAGCAGGTAGCAGTGTGGCTCTGCAGCTCCATGGAGCAGCTGGAGAGATTGATGCTTGGGGCTCATGGCTGGCCCGGACATTTGGAGACAGAAACCAGGTCTATCAGCTGGTTTCTCATGCCTCCTCACAGAGATTGGATCTGATCTACCGGGGACCAGACCCAGGGCTCTGGCTAGCTGCACTGGCTCCTGGGAGGGCATCTGGTGTCAGGTACCATGGAGGAGTTAGCCCATGTGGTGCTCTGTCCCAGTCTGCATCCCTAGATGTATCATGGGCCTATTCCAGTGCTCCCCAGCACAGACTCCAACCTAGCCCTGACTGGCTGATTCCGTGCCCTGCCCTGAGAGGGTCTGGTCAGCAAAATGCAAGGCCTCTAGAGGATCCAAGGGGAGGGAAACGGGAAACTTGTTCTGCTCAGAACTGAATTCAGGGCTGCCTCAGCCCCTCCCTCACTGCCAGATCTGGAAGCTCAGTGCTCAGCCAGGAAGCGCTCTGCCAGTGCTCCTGACCCACAGCCCTCACTAGCCCTGCCCTGGGCTGATCTGCTAGTTTTGTTGGCGACCCTTACTCCTGATCTGCCACCCCTCTGACAGCCCTGGGCTCCCTAATGTATCCCTTGAATCCTAGTGAACGCCATATTGTCCGATAGATTGTCAGGATGCAACTTGCAGGGCTCAGCTATAGGGGTAGTGAGTCATTTATTCATAGCAATGAGAACATCGTGGCCTAGACTCCAGGGTCTGTGCAATTTATATGACACCCACACTTCCAGGGCCACTGGCCCCCTTTGAGAGAATGGACAAGGCATTCAATGGGCAGGGCATGGGGGGGACCCTGATCCCTGACCCAAACCTTGCCAGTGGCCCCTGTCCCCAAGTTGCTTTGGCAGTAGCTGTCCCCATCCACTGGGAACCCCTAAGCAGTGATCATTTGAGTTCCTGAACACCTCAAAGCCTTGAGGAGGGTCTCCCTGTGGCCAGTGTTCACAGGGTACAGGGGCTACTGTGTGCTGGGTGGGGTCTTGCGCCATTCCTGCCTGTAAAGTCTTGTTACTGCCTGCTAGGCACTGCTCCTCCATTGGTGAGTTTGATATAGTGCACTAAGGCAT